GGGATTTGCTTCCAAAGAGCATATTGTGGAAGGGGGAGGAAGGCTTAACTTTATACTGGAGAAAGTTAAACGACCTTAGCTCCACCTTAGCCAGGTGATCAAGGTTAATATCATCAGCAAAAAAGACATGTTGTCTGCATGTACCCCTGATATGATGTAATGAGAATGGCACTTCAACTCTGTGATCGTCCTTCAAAAACCCATAACCTTGGTCTAATCATGAGAAAATACCAAATTCCAATAGAAGGGCATCTTACAATGTAGCTTACCAGTATTCCCCAAAACTGCCAAGGTCATCAAAAACAAGAAAAATCTGAGAAACAGCCACAGCCTGAGGAAACATGATAACTAAATGTAACGTGGTATCCTGGATGGAATCCAGAAAAAGGATTTAGTGGAAAAACGAACGAAATCTGAATAAAGGATGGAGTTTAATTAACATAACAGTGCTGTTTCCTTAGTTGTGACAAACATACCATAGCAATTTGAGATGTGAATAAAAGGGGGAATTGGGTGAGAGGTATATAAAAACCCTGTACTATTTTTGCATCTTTCCACAAATCTAAATCTGCTGTGCAATTTAAAGTTTATTTTCAAAAGAGAGAGAAAACTCAAGGTGCTATACATGTATGGTCAGGAAAGGAATGCTGAAATGAATTTACAAAGGGATGCAAAACGGGCAAAATCAGTCAGCATCCACAGAGTAATAATCAAATTTTACATTTTTATGGACAGGAATGATTTGCTTACGATTTGTGTTCAACAAGTTAACTTCTATCTCTAAAGAGCTGTAAGACAGCCTAGTCAGAGACAAATCCTATATAGCCCTATAGGACCAAAGGAATCCCCAGAGGCTCCAGCATTCCCTTAAAAGGATATCTAGAAATCTCTTCTGCCCATTCAAAATCTTCCATCGTTTTTTTCCTACAAAGGATGCAGGTGTCCAAATTATAAAAAGCCCTTACAGGAGTGCCTGGTTGGTGCAGTCAGTTAAGCATCTGACTCTTGGTTTCGGCTCAGGCCGTGATCTCAACGTCGTGAGACTGAGTCCTGCATTGGGCTCCCTGCTCAGCGTGGAGTCAGCTTGAGTTTCTCTCTGCCTCTCCCTCTGCCCCTCCCCCTCCTAAAATAAATGAATAAATCTTTAAAAAAAAAAAAAAGCCCTTACAACAGCTGGCCTGACTTGACAAAATGGCTAACATGAGTTTACAAATATTCAAACAGTTATGCAATGCTTTGCTAAGTTATTACAACACTATGGACAGAAAAATAACCCAAAGATCAAGATAATTTATCAGCCTACCAAGCGGAAACCCTACAGACTGCTAGATATCCATCACTGCCTTAGAGTTAAAGCACTTGCAATATCAAGTTACTTAGGCAACATACCAGCAAATGGTGCAGTAACAAAATAATTTTAAAAAGCAATTGAACAAAAGAACAATCAATATCAAGTTCCAAATCCCATCCCCTACCTGGTTGTACAAATTATTCATGTTAAAGATAGACTCAGCTCTTAGGTAGGGAACTGTCATTTTCCCAGGCCTTGTACTTCTATATAGAGGGGCTTCGACTGGATTAACATTCCTGGCCTCAGTTTCTGCCTGTGTAGGAAGAGGCTCCACGACAAAACATATACCTGCAGTTTGGAACATTTACCTTCAGACTTTTTGTTTCAGGCTCTTATTTAAATGTTTGTTTCCTCTTTCCTCACAGTTTTAATGCATGTGGCAAGTGTCTTAAAGCCAGAATCCACAAGGATCTTTCCAACCTCAGTTTCCTGTGTGCTGGTAGAAGAGTGACTATCTCTTATAGTAAATTAGTTAAGAGACTTTTGAATATGACCTAGTATACATGCTTGAACGCAGGAGCAAAGGTGTCAATCATGTCCTATGTGAGAATTTCCACTCTGTGTCACAGCAATATTTATTATAAATGAATTAGTATTCTGGTTCTACCCCAATTCATGTGCATCTTAGTTAGTGTGAATTAATTTCTCAGAACCTGATCACCTCACTAACCACTGAAAAAATCAAATCTTGGAGCTTTCAAGTGGGGGGCTAGATTTCTCCCAGCCTCTGTAAGATTAAAACATCTACCTCGGGGCACCTGAGTGGCTCAGTCAGTTAAGCATCTGCCTTCGGCTCAGGTCAGGGTCCTGGGATCGAACTCCACATCAGGCTCCCTGCTCAGTGGGGAGTCTGCTTCTCTCTCTCCCTCTCCCCAGTTCATGCTCTCTATCTCAAATAAATAAATAAAATCTTTTTTAAAAAAACCGAACTCTAAATCAATCACTGTACCATATCAGAGGGCCTAGAATACATTCCTACATAACCCACTAACCGTACAGTCCCCTTTTAGCATTGTAACAGTTCAAGAACTATTCCTGCTCAGTGATTTCTTGCCTACTGTTATGTTCTTGTTCAACGACCACCCTCCTCTAGAGCCAACTTACTGATGCACTTCACCTTTTACTTCTTTTTTTTTTTAGGTTTTATTTATTTATTTGACAGAGAAAGAGAGAGAGCACAAGCAGGGGGAGAGGCAGGCAGAGGGAGAGGGAGAAGCAGGCTCCCCACTGAGCAGGGAGCCCAATGTGGGGCTCGATCCCAGGACCCTGGGATCATGACCTGAGCCGAAGGCAGACGCCTAACCGACTGAACCACCCAGGTGCCCCTCACCTTTTACTTCTGACTTGAAGGAAATTGTACAACGTGCGCCACCTTAACATTACATATGATATGAAAGAAAATTCCAAAGTGAAGTAAACATTGCTAAGAGAGTCACTCAAAAATAGGGTCAGGGAGTATGGAAGAAGCAAGGCATATGCACGTCTGTTTCAATTTTTGGAACATCCTGGACTTTTGACTTTTGTCAATTTCACCTCTGCCACCTTCTAGAACATATCCTTCTACTTTGGACTGGAATAGAGATAATGTAACCTCTATCAGCCAAATAGCCCATTGTTTATTAGATAGTTTAACTCTGTCAGCACCAATCACAATTCAATCAAAGGAAGTCATATAACCTCCTGGGCTTTGCCTTTATATGTCTGCACTTTCCACTTACAATTCTGAACACACTTTCAATTTCAGTCCACTCTGTGGCTCCAGGACTGTAATCCCTAAGACCCCAAAATAAATGCTCCTGGCTGCTTTACAGCCTCTTCTTCTTGACTGACAATGGGTATAACCGTTTTATAACAAAAAGTGATGTATCTGTAAAGACTGCTGCATATTATATCATCTCAGCACTCCAGGCAAGAACCACTGTTTATCTATTTGTTTTCAATTTACCCCACTGGGACTTACTGATAAAATTCTATTTTCTTTACTCCTAGTGCTTTATGTTTATTCACATTCTACTATTTTATTGCATGTATGTCTTGCCTTCTTAAATTCTTTGTGGAAAGAGACTAGGTCAAAAAATAAAATACAGAAAGGAATACTTTAGTGCCTACTCTCTACTGCCCTCTGCAGGTGGAAGGAAAGAATAAGTGAGTCACAACCTATATACCTGCAGTAGTGTGCAAGAGATTCTCACCTAACAGAAAGATTTAAAGCAACCGGTGACTTTTAAGAGATTAACCATTACCAACCAGACTCCACCTATTCACAGGACGGATGTCCCAATTTGCTAAAGTCCCTTCACTGTGGAAAGATCTCTAGGAACCATATATCCTATTTTCAAGAAAACTTGCTGTCTCCTGTACTCATATACAAATGGACATCATAGTCCTCTCTTACTCTGGGTCAAGGCTAAGGGCCTTTATGTCAAATTCCCTTACAGCCCTGTAAAACTTGAGTCCGGGAGTGAAAAGAGATTCAATAGTTATAATGACACAAAGGCACAAACAATGCAACTTGTCTGTGCTTTGCCGACAAATGTCAACGAACGCAGGAACCCCTGCAATGCAGCAATCAGAGATAATGTGAGATTTTGCTTTTGGTTTTTACAGAAAGTGTAAAGCAGCCTGCAAGATGACCAGCAAACAGGCAGCATCCATTTTGTGTAGAAAGGACCGTTGATTATGCATGGGTTATTTTTTTCAGTCACACTACTTTATATGGATAGCAACACTGTCAGTGATGTCATCTTCCAAAACAACAGACCCGAATGTATAGGCATATTGTGCCAACTGAGCCCAAATCAATGACCTGAGTAATGCAATCATGGTAGCACTATTATTCCTCATCTAAACCCTCCAAGCCCAAAGAAAAATAATGCTAATCTGATGCATATTCAAGGAATAGGTTGTGTGGGAAAGAAGATCAAGCCTTTGTCTAATTTTTATTTACATTCTAATATGTATTTACAGGAAACCCCACAAAATTTAGCATCATTATGTGCATCAGAATATGTCATTTTATTTTTGCATTAGAGCAGGTTAAAAAATTTATTAACAATGACACACTCTCTTGGATAAGAATATTTTTAGCGAGGATATTTTCTAAAGAACTGCACTCCAAACGTGCATTCCCATAGCATACCAACATTTTTCCAAAACTGCAGCGTCAGAATAATTTATAGCATTCCTGACAGACGAGGTATCGTTGTTTTATTGATTGGAGTTAAGGAAATTTTTGAAAGATTTATAGCTTTTAGTTCCATTTCTGCTTGTTTTATGATTCAACTGATTCATTCTATTTACCTACCTTCATAATGGGAATAAGGACTTAAGCAGATTTAAAATTTCTCAACGTCTGGAAACAAGCTTTCTGAGCTATGTTTCTTTAAATGGTGTGTATGGAAGAGATCCAATGAGTCTTTCCACTCGTTTAAAGTATACCCTGAGCGCTCTCTACAAAGTTGGAGAGGCTCACCGTAGGAGTCAATACATTGTCTTCGAAGACCACACATCCGGGTCACCTTGGAGCCAGGCAGAGGCCCCGCCCCCCTAGGGGTGGTGCCACGGGCCCGTAGAACGTACCGCCGCCATGATCCGCCACGTCCTTCCCGCGCGCTGGAGGCGGAGCCTGCGCGGCGCGATCCTCGAACGAATCGGATTGCAACGCGGGTTCAAACCATGTCTGAGAGCGGCCGGATACCTCAGGCCCGGGCGCTTCTGCAGCAGTGCCTGCACGCCAGGCTGCAAGTACGTCCAGCCGAGGGAGACGCCGAGAGCCAGTGGGTGGAGGTAACGTCAGCCCCTCCACTCGCGGTACCGCGTGCAGGGGCGGGCCTTCCTGCGTTCTTTTGGTAATTGGCCTCCCCGCCCCCACGTCTCCCTCCGCGCTGGCGGTGCGTGGCGCCCGCACGTGCTGTGGGCGGTGCGGACCTCCGCTCAGCCCACCCACCTCCTCCCGCAGAGGCCTAGGGGCCCTGGCCCTTCCTCTTCTTCCTCAGACCTATTCCGCCGGCGGAAGAGCGTGTGCCCTGCTTAGGACCGCGGGAATTTGAACTTCCGTCTCACCTTCTGCCTACCTGAGCTTGGTGGACTTGAGGCCTAATTGTCTCAGATCTCTTGCTTCAAAAGAGTGAGGGCCTTGCCACATCCTTTGCTTTGGTCGGGCTGCTGGTGGCTAGTGCTGGTCTGGTTCGAGCTTGTAGGTTAGATTAGTTGCTAACGTTCAAGACCTGTTTTGACTTGTGCTCCAGATCCTGTGGAATTCCCTCTTATGTAGACTGCAGCTAGGCACAGAAATGAGAATTCCCGTGAAACAATTCTTTTTTCAAGAAACTTAAAACTTTTACGTATTTGCAACCAGAAACAAAGACTACTACTTTTATTATAATGTGTTGTTGAACACAGTTCCTCCGAAAAATTTAAAAAACACACCGATAGGAGTTCCTTCTACTTTAGTATTTGACCTTTTTTTTGGTAAAGATTTTATTTATTTATTTGACAGAGAGAGAGAGGGAGAGCACAAGCACGGGCAGAGGGAGAGGGAGAAGCAGGCTTCCCGCTGAACAGGGAGCCCGATGTGGGACTCGATCCCAGGTCCCCAGGATCATGACCTGAGCCGAAGGCAGACGTCCAACAGACCCACCCAGGCATCCCTAGTATTTGCCCTTTAAAGACAGCCTGCCCCAAGTCTATGCAAAAACAAAGTGTTCTTTAACGCCTCTGACCTATTTTTGGAGTAAGTTAAAACGAAGAAAAATTAGTTGATAATTAAGGCTTTTGGAGATACTCGAAAACTTAATGTAGGAGCATCTTTTTCACTCATCTGCTGGATTCAGTCCCAGTTGTAGCATTCCTTAACACAGTCCTAGTCATTATGTTAAATATTACCCATAAACTATGATATGTGGGTGGTTATTCTTAAATCAGAATCTATTACTCTCTGCTAATTTAGAAATGTTTATAAGCACAAATATTCCTATATTTCGCCCTACCCATTTCTTTCTCAAAAATTCATGTTTCTTGTTTTTGTTATGCACCCCCCCTTTTTTGAGGTCTTGATTTCTCTTCTGTATTGTGGAATTTTGTTCTTTTCATATTTGTCGTCCTATCCAAAGAATTGCCTATTTTTATGGTTAAATCTTGGGACTATAAATTCCAAACTATTAATCATTTAGATTTCTTCCATTTTTTAAATCTTTTTAATATTCTTCATGCCACAGTTCCTTATGCAAAATAATACTTTATTGCAGCCTTCCAAACTATCAGTTTGTGTTGATAAACTCTAAAAGCTAAGCTTTCCGTTTCACTCCCACACATAGCTAAATTAGTATAAAGAACTGACAATTAGATAGTGAGAAAGTAAATTTTTTCCTCCTTTTCAAACATCCTCTTCCCTATTCTATTAAAAGTTATAATTTTTTTTTTTAAGTAATATTGTTTTGTCAAAAGATTTGAAGGTTACTTTGTGTTCTCAGTTTTATTCATTTAGACCATTGCTGTCACAGGCTAATGTTTTTCTTCCCAAAAAGGTGAACATTTTAAAATTATGGTGAGAGGGCTGCCTGGGTGTTTCAGTTGGTTAAGCCTCTGACTCTTGGTTTCAGCTCAGGTCATGATCCCATGAGTGGTGGGATCCAGCCCTGCATTGGGCTCGGAGCTCAGCAGAGTCTCTTTGAAGATTCTCTCCCTCTGCCTGTTCCCCTGCTTATGCATGTGCTTGCTCTCTGTCTCTGCTCTCTAAAATAAATAAATCTTAAAAATTAAAAAAAAAACAACTATGGTGAGAATTATATGTAATTTCCTATATATTTAAAATGTTTTCTACCAAAAGAAGCTAAAAGAAAAGTGGTTCTGACTTGAAGAGGGGAATTTGTAGGACACAACTTAAGATCTATTATTGGAATAAACTAAAAGAAAATACCTTAATGAGGAGGTAGTGTGGTGGGTGGAAGGAACAGGTGTCTATTTCTGCATATCATTAGATACTTAATTCTGACATTGCAAGTGTCCAAATACGAATATGCCTGAGATTTTGACTGAATGTGCTTGAGATTTGGGCTGGTACTAAAACGATCCTGGTGGAGTGACCTGTGACAGTGGTGCAAATACCTATATCATTCATCCTGCCAGACCTTTGCTTGTTCCAGAAGCACATTTGCACTTCTTAAAAATTACTTATTTTCCAGTAAATCAAGAGTGAGTGCAAAGCTGCATTTATGTTTATATAGAAGACTATTTAGATAACAGAACCTGTAAAGTACAGTTGAACTTAAATGCAAACAACAGATAAATTGAGTCCCTATCATGTCTGTAAAGTGCTTTGGGAATTAAAATGTAAAATAAATTGTGCTTCAGCCCTTAAATTTATTTTTACATACTAATTTAATAAACACTTATATAGCTCTTACTATGAGCTAGCACTATTTTAAGCACTTTACAAATATTAATTTAATATTTTTTTAAAGATTTTTTTATTTATTTGACAGAGACACAGCGAGAGAAGGAACACAAGCACGGGGAGTGGGAGTGGGAGAGGGAGAACCAGGCTTCCCGCTGAGCAGGGAGCCCGATGCGGGGCTCGATCCCAGGACCCCAGGATCGTGACCCGAGCCGAAGGCAGTTGCCTAACGACTGAGCCACCCAGGCGCCCCAATTTAATCTTTATAATAGCTCTTAGACTCAACAAGGTTAATCTACAAAATAAGAAATTTAATGATTCACTCAGCAGCAAAATCAGTCATTTATCATTTCTCTCTTTTCCATATATATCCTACAAGAGCTAATAAAGAACTATCCAAGTCATTGTATTTAAAAGTTTACATTCCTGAGGCACCTGGGTGGCTCAGCCAGTTGGGCATCCAATTCAGTTTCAGCTCAGGTCATGATCTCAGTATCGTGGTATTGAGTTCGTCTTAGATGGGCTCTGCACTGGGGGTGGAGCCTGCCTGGGATTCTCTCTGTCCCTCTCCCTTTCGAGCTCGCTCTCTTAAAAAACAAAACAAAACAAAAAACCTTACATTCCTGTTAACAGACAACTTCATGATGTAGAACTTAATATCATAAATACAGTATCAAGGCTTAATCACTGTTGATTTAAAGCATTGACAATAACAAAAAATAATTGGACAGTTTTTGGAATTTAGTGAAGTAGAGTCAGACCCTCAGTTTTATTACCTGCAAGTAAATGGATTTGGAAGAATAAAGAGTAATGATGTCAAAAGACATCAGTCACGCTGTTACTTCTACATCAGCCATATCTAATATAATGTGAATTCATTTGGTGTTGAATAAATGGGGCTCAGCAAACTACACATTTCTAAGTGTCAGCCTTACTTAAGGGAGAGGAGGCTGGTTCATACTCATAATGACTTTGACTAGAAGTAAATGTTTGAGGGTACAACTTGTGGTCTTCACTGCTCTTGGTTATATCTTAAACTTAATTTTTGCAAGAAATGATAATTGAGGTGATTAAATATTGAAAAAGATTTTGTTTTCTCACATATTTAAAAAATCAAATCTGTTATAAAAATGTATTTCTCTTCCTGTGGGTTTAATCTCCATATAGCAGTTTTGAAACTTTATTCATTTACTTCTGTATCTCTATGTAGTTTTTTTCTAATCTGAGTTTTCTCTGGTGATTTCTCATAGGTTCAGAGAGGATTAGTAATCTACGTGTGTTTTTTCAAGGGAGCTAATAAAGAACTTCTTCCCAAAATGGGTAAGTACTTGATGTTTGTTTTGTAAAAGTAAAAATGAGTAGGAACAGATAGATGAACCAGAAGATGTAGAAACCACAATCTTAAGTTGTACTGGTAAGTTTTAAATGAGTTAACTCTACAGTTGTTGGCTTTAGCTACTTTTGCCTTTTCTAAAGTTTAAAGTAAGCAAGTGTGGTGAGATTCTTTCAAAACATCTGCACCATTTCATATGGCTTATAGATTAGTTTAGGACAGGGTACACACATGCGTGCACACACAGACAACACACTTGAGATCCAGCCACGTTTCTAGCAGAAACTTGTTAGCAGGGTGGCCACCTAGGAAGAAACAGATGCTTCATTTCTTTCTTTCTTTTTTTTTTTAAGATTTTATTTCTTTATTTGACAGAACAAGTAGGCAGAGCGGCAGGCGGAGGGAGAGGGAGAAGCAGGCTTCCTGCTGAGCAGGGAGCCCAACACGGGGCTCGATCCCAGGACTCTGGGATCATGACCTGAGCAGAAGGCAGACGCTTAACCGACTGAACCACCCAGGCGCCCCAGATGCTTCATTTCTTAATATAGTTTCCTTATCTCCCACAGTCCCTGACAGGGTCATGTTGGTGACACTGTATGTGCAAGATGTGGGTCCCATCAAATCTGGACAGCTAAGTCTTATATCATTATTATGGAAAATTTTAAATTATTTCTGCACCTTTTTTTAAATAAGAAATGTATATAAATATAAGGTTCTCCTGATCTTGAACAAGGTGCAGTGTCATCACAACCATACCTCCTCCAGGGACAGAAAAGCTGGGTCAGTGTTCAGTTATCTCTGAACACTAATTTACCTGCCTGCAGTTCTCCACTGTCCCTGATAGTCCATAGCACTGCACATTCCTTGTGATAATTACATAGTTTCAGATACACCACATCAAATACTAGATAGTATTTGATAAAATAATTATGTATAAAAAACCTGAGTTAATGAAGCTATCCCTAAGGTTGGGGACAGGTTATATTCTCTTTATTAGTAGCGGACAGCACCCGTTAGTTGGATTAATAAGAAATATAAATTATACAAATGGGTAGTTGTGACATGCAGAAGTTAACCTAGAAGAGCTTCAAGTAGTGGCACTCCAGGGTAAATAGCCCAATGAGGAACCTCTGGGGCAAAAGGCTAAAAATTCCCAGAGGTAATTTTATACCAAGACATCAAACATGTTTGACAACTTTGTCAGGTGAAAACTAGACTTTAAGGACTATGATAGGTAAGGGGGAAAGCCAATAACTGATGGTTTGAAATTTGATTCTGGAAGATAATAGGGAGCTTTCTAGGGTTTAAAGAGAAAATGGGTGCCTGGCTGGCTCAGTCAGTGGAGCATGCAACTCTTGATCTCAGGATCATGAGTTCGAGCCCCATGTTGGGATATAGAGATTACTTTAAAAAAGGGGGAGGGGGGCGCCTGGGTGGCTCAATCGTTTTAAGCATCTGCCTTCAGTTCAGGTCATGATCCCAGGGTCCTGGGATCGAGCCCCATATCGGGCTCCCTGCTCAGCGGGAAGCCTGCTTCTCCCTCTCTCACTCCCCTTGCTTGTGTTCCTTCTCTCCCTGTGTCTCTCTCTGTCAAATAAATAAATAAAATCCTAAAAAAATAAAATAATAGAGCAAATGAAATGAGGGCTCCTATTACAGAGGATGATTTGCTAAGACCTATTGCTTGGGTATTGGACATTGTGTCCATTTCCCTAAGTTAATATTTTGCCTTGAATTAAATCTTTATTGACCATAGAAAGTATAGTAGAAATCTACAAAAACAGGAAGAGAATTTTTGTCATTATGACTTAAGATTGACTCCTAAAGTTGTTTCATATTTTCTTAAGTGACTCTTAAGCATAATAACATGAAATGAGCCAACCAAATCCAAGCTACATTTTGTGTAATAGTAAATAAATCCTGTGCGCTTCCATCTATGTCTAAGTTCATTCTGAATACATACATTAAGACTGTGATAAATTAGGAGGTCTACCTTAACTCTTTTAGTGGACAGTCGAAAATAAAACTGTATATATCATGATTCTCAGTAAAGAACAGAGATTCTATCCCATTCTGCTGGTTGGCGTGAGTTATAAAGAAAAAAAGTCCATCTGTTATTGATAGCATTAGCTTGTACTTCCTTTATTCCAGGAGGCAAAGTAAGCCTGTGTGATGGGATTCTCTTAAACCCCACCTCATACTTATTACATGGATTCAGATCTTTCTAATCAAATCATGTATCCCTTGGGAACATAACCAGTTATATCCATAAAGTCTGAAGTTACGTGGCTAACATAGAGATGTGCAGAATCTTTCTCAGTTCATCTTCAGTATAATTGAACTGAGATCCAGGAACCTGTCAAAGCTTAACTTCCCATATACATCATTGGAGATACTTGATTGATAACCTGTCTTAAGAACTTTGAGTTTCCAACATACCATTGATTCCTTGTCTCATTTAAATTCTACTTACTGACAGTTGTATTATATTTATTTCTACATACTGATATTTGTATACCAACAACATTAATTGAATTTTCAGTTATAGCCAGTAGAGGGAGGGTGAGGAAGTATAATAAATTGTACTTACCTCACTCACCTGTTATTCCAAAATTGTCTACTTAAGTCTGTCACTAGCCTGAGGCCTGGCTAGCTGGATAGAGATTTCCCTTGGAACGAAGTGCCCTGGAGAGTTACGGTTTCCTTAGAAGCAATCAATAACAACTGCTGGCTATATAGCAAAATCCTATTCATAATAGAGAAAATTAGAGGTATTTTAAAATAGATATTAGTTGAAAATTGAAAATGCTTAATGCATACTTTAGGAATTCATTTGGGTGTTCATCTTGGCAGGTTTCTACCAGGTCAATTCCCTGATCTGTAGAGTGGGGCAACCAGACTGAGTCTTTCCTAATATTTACTACAAACCTTCCAGTACTTGAAACCATTGACAACCCTACTAGAAAGCATACCTTTTCAAGCCTAATTATTGGGTAGGAGTGTGAGATCTATATAGTTTCTTTTACCATTTGTCCTCTGAGGAATATTTTTTTTTAAGATTTTATTTATTTGAGAGAGAGAGAGTGTGTGTGTGTGCAAGCATGGGAAGGGGCAGAGGAAGAGGAGAGAGAGAATCTCAAGCAGACTCCATGCCAAGCATGGAGCCCGAGTGGGGGCTTGATCTCACCACCCTGAGATCATGACGAGCTTAAAACAAGAGTTAGATGCTTAACCGACAAACCACCCAGGCGCCCCTGAGGAATATTCTTTATAAGCAGATGTTATTTATACCCTTTATAGAGTCAAGAAGACCCTAAGGCTATTCATATTAGGTGTTTCTTTTGTTTACTGTTTTGAAAGTAGCTAATGTTAAGATGTAAAGGTTTTCTAAGTTTAGACTTTTAGCTAGACATAGATATTTATGGCTTTTTTGACAGTTCTTAATAGCTATAAGAGTATAGTGTCATAAATGCCATAAAAATAATAACACCATGTTTTCTTGTGTGTTTATGAACATAATGCCAGTATACCTTTTGATTTACTTTTTTGGTTGTAACAGTGAATTTCTGATGATGCTTGTTGTCAGCTTTACTCCTCTCCCATGGGTTACATCTGTCCTATGATTAGACTGTGTTAAATAGTGCCTTTGAGATTATGAAACTGCAAAATTATCTGGTTTATAATCATAATGAACCTGGAACCTTTGTCTCAGCTTAGAACTCTAGGCAGTTAAGTTACTCTAAGATTTCTATTTAATATTCTTTGTTATAAAGCAGAATTTAGTGTGAGGAGGATTCATTATGGCCTTTTTCCAAAGAGATTTGCTTATGGAATATAAAAAGGAACAAAAATGCAAAATCGTTTCATGTATCCCCCTGGGGCAACAATATTTTGAGGTTTCAGTATACAGTTAATTTTTAGTCCTTACTGCATGAATTTATTGTTAGGAATCTTGACTGCCCAGTTGGATTTAAAACATCATGCCATTTTTTGCATGAAATTTGCCTTATTTTCCTGCTTAGATCATTTAGCTTAGTGAAGCAGTTCTTTAAATCTGAGCAGAGATTTTGGGTAAAAAGCATGAGCCAACAAAGTAGATTTTAAACATGAGATTTGCTGACTGGATGATTATTGGTTTTCTTCATGTTTCTCACTTCAAGATGTTTTGCCTTTCTTCCCCACCCAGTTAATACACTGTTAAATGTGAAGTTAAGTGAAACAGAAAATGGTAAGCACGTGTCTATATTGGACCTTCCTGGCAATGTTCTAATCATCCCTCAAGCCACCCTTGGGGGGAGAGTAAAAGGAAGAAACATGCAGTATCACTCTAACTCTGGAAAAGAAGAAGGCTTGGAACTTTATTCCCAATTTGTGACTCTATGTGAAAAAGAACTGGCTGCCAACAGCAAGTGTGCCGAAGCTGGGGTTGTGGTGGAACATGGTACATACGGGAACAGGCAGGTGTTACAGCTGGATACCAATGGACCATACACACACCTAATTGAGTTTTGAAAAATTAAAAAGTTAGTTTCTACAGTTGTTTTCTGGTATAAAATGGTCTCAACTATAATTCGATTTTCTTCCTCTTCTTGAATACCTTAATCTGCAGCATTTTTAGACAAGAAAATCCTGGGTCCTATCCATACCTCTGCAACCTGTTAATTGGATGACCTTGCCTTGCCAAGTCACCAAACTCTGGATCTCATTCACCTTTCATCCTGCTTTCCCCTACACTTCCACTTGAAAACTTGAAAAATGCTTTCTAGTCACCTTATAGTCACTGTGGAAATGTTCTTAGAGAGCTGTATTTAAGTATTTTGCATGAAGAATTTTGTGCAATCAAGAAAAATATTTCTTATACCCTCAAATGTATGAAGTATGTAATAAAAATAACTTTGTATTAAAATTAGGTAAAATCCCACACAAACCGATTACAGTTTTGTCAGTTTTGTTTTACTATTTCAGTTTTCCATATTCTGAATGAAAACAATACATTATTTACTATTCTTTTTAATAATATCTGAAAATGTAGTCTAGAAATGTTATTGTGCATTATATTACTTTCCAAGGACATCCAAGTGCTTTAAATCATTTTAAGAATCTAGTTGAGGGGCGCCTGGGTGGTTCAGTCGGTTAAGCATCTGCCTTCCGCTCAGGTCATGATCCCAGGGTCCTGGGATAAGTTCCACATCAGGCTCCTTGCTCAGCGGGAAGCCTGTTTCTCCCTCTGCCTACCACTCCCCCTGCTTGTGCTCTCTCTCACTCTCTCTCTCTCTGACAAATAAAAAAATCTTTAAAAAAAAATAATAATCTTTAGTTGAGGGGTGCCTGGGTGGCTCAGTCGGTTAAGCGACTGCCTTCAGCTCAGGTTGTGATTTTGGAGTCCTGGGATGGAGCCCTGCACAGGCTCTGTGCTCAGTGATTGGTCTGTGTCTCCCTCTGCCTCTGTGCTCTCTCTCACTCTCAAGCAAATAAGTAAAATCTTTAAAAAAAAATCTTAAGTTGATACAAGAACAAGGTATGAAGATTAAAAAATGTTTTTATTTGGGGCGTCTGGGTGGCTCAGTCATTAGGCGTCTGCCTTCAGCCCAGGTCGTGATGGGATCGAAGCCCACAATGGGCTCCCTGCTCCGCGGGAAGCCTGCTTCTCCTTCTCCCACTCCCCGTGCTTGTGTTCCCTCTCTCACTGTGTCTCTTTCTGTCAAATAAAATCTTTTTAAAAAAGTTTTTATTTAATATACCAATTGGTTAATTAATACTTCTGTTTCTCAGTTTTTTTACCAAAATAATGTATGTCTCATTTTCTGTCCTTGGTTTTTAAAAGTTACTGCTTTGTGAAATTAATGTTCGTAAGTTTTCTACAAGTCTTTTCTTACTTAGATTGCCATAAAAGGAAGAAAGAAGGGAAGCTTTCTACTCTAATTATTTGGAAACAAGCTGACTTGTTCTTTTCCATATTATTTATCTAACAATTTCGAGCCAGTGTTTTTTCTGTTAGTGAATGTTTGTGCCCCACCCCCATTCACATGTTGAAGTCCCCCAACTTGATGGTATTTGGAGATGGGGCTTTGGGAGGTAATTAGGGTTAATGAAATCATAAGAGTGGGTCCCTCATGATGGGATTAGAATCTTCATAAGAGTAACCAGAGAGCTTGCTTGCTCGTTCTCTCTGTTCCCACCATGTGAGGATGCAGTGGGAAGGGGGCTATCTACAAACTAGGAAGAGAACCCTTATCAGAAACTGACCAGGTTGACACCTTGATCTTGAACTTGCAGCCTCCAGGCAGTGAGAAAATAAATTTCTGTTGTTCAAGCCACTCAGTCTATGGTATCTTGTTAGGACAACCTGAGCTGATGAAGATAGTGATACAAGATAGACAGCTAATGAGGTAGATTTTTCAGTCAAGAGAAGAAGATATATGAGAAACTGAAAGAATAAATAAAAGATAATATTCAGTTTTTGCACTCTTCTGACTTTATTTGAAAAGATATTTTGAAGTGTAAACACCAAATAATATTTCTAATTACCAAAAAATAAAGAAAATAACTTGAATAAACATCTTAAGTAGCTGCTAAAAATTCCTTTGTGTCATAATTTCTTTAGGTCTGTCCTCCTAAGATACTTAAAATTTTTGTTATCACGAAAATCCTATTACTCTATATCCTTCCTGTACTATTCTATTTTGGAACTTGAGAATCAATAACTGGCTTGGTGATGAGCTCATTGTCCTTAACTTTTGCTTTATTGATTCATGATACACTTACTGAAATGTAATAAACTATTCATAAACTTTCAAACTCCAATTTTCTCAAAGCTTCTCTGAGAAGGTGTGTATGTCTTTGGCAAAGATTATGTGTTACCTATTTTAAATCATTTTGATTTTGTGTGTAGGTGAAATGCTGACTCATAGCCCGAGATTGCTGTTTTATAGTTTTTTAGAAACAATATGGGTTCAGTTACAGAAAAGACTGTATATAGGACAGATTACTGATGAATGTGGTTCTGATATCTTGAATATACTCATACAAAGTAAAATCAAACACACTTACCATTCCTTCATTAGTTCAAGTAAAAAAAGGCCCACCGTTAATGAATCATATCTGTATTAATGATGATTTATTGACTCCATAATGAAAAAAGTCAATTTATCGATTATAAAGATCAAATGCTATGGAGTCCTATGCCACTTGTCTTGTGGAATAAGAATTCACATTGGTGTTTTAAAACAGTGGCATGTCCTATTTTTAATATCTGTGGTTAATATTGCAGAGGGCCTGATTTGTTATATGTAGATGTAGTTAGGGCACCTGGGTGGCTCAGTGGGTTAAGTGTCCAACTCTTAGTTTTGGCTCAGATTGTGGTCGCAGGGTTGTGAGATCAAGCCCCCGTCAGGCTGTGGAGTCTGCTTGAGATTCTCTGCCTCTGCCCCTCCTCCCGCTTGCATGCTCTCTCTCTCACTTTCTCTCTCTAAATCTTTAAATGTATTTGTTAAGTTTAATCATTCCCAAACTTACTGAATTAAAAAAAAAAACTAGAAATGCCTTACCTATTAATTTATTGAAATAATACTAGTTTCAGGGAAGATCTATAGAAAAGTAACATTTTCATTCTGAAGCCACACTGTAGTGACAACTTTAAATGTTTGATAGTCTCCTAATTATTCTCCCTTCCTCCTATTTCTCCTGCCTCTAATACTTTTTGCAGACAATCTCTAAGGTAATGATCCTAGAACATTCTTTTCCCCATGATATTCCACAGTTCAGAAACTTTTTTATTAAGTTGTTTATTCTAACCCCAGGATAGTTAAACATACAGTGTTATATTACCGTTCAGAAACTTTTATAACCTTTTATCTACAGGTCAAAGTCTAAACTTCTGAAGTTGGAATGAAAGTTCTCCATACTCCTTGGGAGTGAATGAAATCATGCAGGGAGAACTATAGAGAGGACCAATGTCAGAATCGTGGGAAAACATAAAGGAACAGCAAACAAATGAGAGGCCAGAGGACACTATAGAGATCAGAAATGCAGAGAGAACCCAAAAAATGCAGTATTAACAGAAGATAATTTTCAAGATGTAAACTGACAAAATCAGTGCCACATACTGAAGAAAAACTGGATAACACAATGACTAAGGAGAGACCTCTGGACCTAGCAGTTAGGTATTTTCAAGCTTCCGGAAAATTGGTGTTAATTTTACAAGATTCAGTAGAAGTAGAAAAAGATTCTTAATCTTTTGTCCTTGGGCAGAGTGTCTCAAAGTGTGCCAGTGGACCAGGAATCACCTGGGAGCCTAATATTTTAACAAAATGCAGTTTTTGAGGACCATCCTAAACATACTCTATTAGAATCTCAGGCCTTAGAATCTGTCTACTCACCAGTGTCCCCCTGGTGATTCTCGTGAACACGGGAATCCTAGAACCACCGTTGCTCGGAATGAAGTGCAGACTTATAAGGCTGCTATCACAGTTTTATACTCTGGCTCCAGCTTGACTTTTTTTTTTTTTAAGATTTTGTTTGAGACACAGAGCGAGAGAAAGAGCGCACACGTGTGCACAAGTGGGGGGGGCAGAGGGAGAGGGAAAGGCAGACTCCCCGCTGAGCAAGGAGCCCAGTGCTGGGCTCCATCTTAGAACCCTGAGATCAGGATCTGAGCCTAAGGCAGCATTTAACTGACTGAGCCACCCAGGCGCCCCTCCAGCTTGACTTTCTAACCCTTTCTCCCACTACTAATAGAAATTCTCCAATGTAACTCTTACGTTTTTCTTAAATTATGCCCAAGCCTGAGTTGCCCTGTGCTTTCCTAAATCCATCACCATTCAATATCTAGCTCAAGTCAATCTCTTCTGATCCCAGAGTAGTTTGTCCTGCCTCTACCTTCCTCTGAATTGTGGTTGTCCCACTCTTGACACTTGTGATGGGTCTTATGAGGTTGAGTACTTTGGCTTTAAATATTTTATGTTTTATGTGTCTTAACTGTAAGAGTATAACTCACATTGGGCAGAACCAACATAATAGCGAGCATACATAACATAGTATAATGTTTTTTGTAATTTCTCACGGTACTTCCACAGAGCTATTTTTGTTGTGCATGCTCATAATTCTCAGTAAATACTACCTGAATCAATATGAACATATGTCGGGCACCTGGGTGGCTCAGTTGATTAAGTGACTGTCTTCAGCTCAGGTCACAATCTCAGGGTCCTGGGATCGAGTCCTGCATCGGGCTTCTTGCTCAGGGGGGTCTGCTTCTCCCTCTCCCTCTGCTGCTCCCACTGCTTGTGCTTTCTTTGTCTCTCTCTTGAATAAATAAATAAAATCTGGTCGCCTGGGTGGCTCAGATGGTTAAGCGTCTGCCTTCAGCTCAGGTCATGATCTCGGGGTCCTGGGATGGAGCCCCGCATTGGGCTCCCTGCTCTGTGGGGAGCCTGCTTCTCCCTCTCCCACTACCCCTGCTTGTGTTCCCTCTCTCGCTGTGTCTCTCTCTGTCAAATAAACAAATAAAATCTTTTAAAAAATTAAAAATGAAAATAAAAAAATAAAATTTGACCTATTACAACAGCTTTTTCTGAATGTGAAAAGAATTTATGTAGAGGATGCACCACACTCTAACAGTATCTGAGAAACATTAGCTATAAACAGTTGGGGTTGGGAAAGTAATTGTGGACTTTTTTGAAGGGGGGGTGTTAGAGTTTTTTAGGGAACATCTGACTGCAAAAATGCCATCCTTGACTCCAACTTAGAGATATTGTTTATTTAGCTTTGTTCTCGCATAAACTAAGGCACTTTCTACAGAAAGCATTTTTTTTTTTTTTGAGAGAGAGAGAGAGCTTGGGGAGGGGCAGAGGGAGAGAGAGAATCTTAAGCAGGCTCCATGCCCAACACGTCCCACAACCCTGAGATCATGACCTCATGACCTGAGCCG